AAATCCCAGTGATCCCAGTGATTCCAGTGATCCCAGCACTCAATCCCAGTGATCCCAGTGATCCCTGTATCCAAACCCTGTGATCCTGGTACCTGATCCCTCTTATCCCTGTGGCCAATCCCTGCAGGAATCGCAATTTTACTCCCGAACCACCCCCCAAAAAAAAGAATTCCCTGCATGCCTATCAACGACATTCCCACTCCCAGCATTCCCTCCCAGCCCATGGATCCAACCACCGGCGCTGGGAAGGGACCCTGGGAGGGGAAGAATCCCTGCTGGGATGGAATCCATGGGAAGGGGAGCCTTGGGGAGGTGCTGGGTCGGCTCAGATCAGCGGGTAGGAGGCGTAGCTGGCGATGCCGCAGAGGTTGGAGGCGTTCCGGGCCATCCGGATGTATCCCGAGTCTCCAAACCACACACCCCAGCTTCGGGAACGGGGAAAAGACACAGGGAAAGCTCAGTGCTTGTTCCTAAAGGAGCAGGTGCCAGAATCCTGCAGTTCATGGAGCCCTTGGGGCTGGAAAAGGCCTTGGGAATCCACAAATTCCAACTGTCCCCAAGTGCCACATCCGCATGGATTTGGGCAGCTCCGAGCAGGAAATCATGGAATTAAGGAGAGGGTTGGGCTGGAATGGACCTCATGGATCATCATTCCAACCCTTCCACGGGCCAAGGAGCACCTGGGCAAGGCCCTGAGGGACAAGGTGGGAGTTTGTGGGATTCCAGGGCTGGGAATTGGACTCTGATCCTTGTGGGCCCCTCCCAGCCGGGAATGTCCTGGGATTCCCTGTGGATGCCCAGGGTTTACCTGTTCTTCACCAGCCAGTATTCCTTGTTGTCCAGGGAGCCGTATCCCACCACCAGCACCCCGTGGTTCACCTCCTGTGAGCACTGGGGGTCATCAAACACCCCTGGGGAGGGAAAAATCCTGGAATTCCAACAGATTCCAGCCTCCCTCCAGGAATCCACCCCCAGCCTCCCAAATCCCACCCGAATTCCAAAGGTTTCCTCCCAACGAGGGAGGGTTCCGGGGTGACAGATTGGAAGAAGGTGGGAAGAGCCCCAAGGACCTCAAAGCCATCCCATCCCAGCCTCCCTCCAGGAATTCACCCCCAATTTCCCAAATCCCACCCAATTCCCATCCGGAGCCCTCACCAGAGTGGTACAGGAAGAAGCTGGGCCGGGTGGCATCGATGGCCACGGCCACGGGGCCCACGGTGGCCACGGCCTCCCTGAGAGCGGCCTCGTCGCCCTGGGGCAGCTCCAGGAACCGGGAGCAGGAGGCGGCGCGGGCTGAGGCGTTGTAATGGCACGTCCCGTTCTGCTGGGAAACGGGAATGGGAATGGGAATGGGGAATGGGGAATGGGGAATGGGAATGGGGAATGGGGAATGGGGA